AACATTGATCGTTTCCCAACGATTTGATGCTCTGGGAATTCTATTGTTTGCTAATGACCATAACACCAAATTCTACTAAAAAGCAAGGAACTGATCGGTTATAGAATTTTATATTAGAATTTTGGAGATTTCTCTACGTTTTTAGATTTCGAAAGGTTTTTCTGTTTACAAGTGAAGTTTCTAGACTGGTATTCAGCCCAACTTGCTCAAAATCGTTAAAGATGAGTTTTTTCACATAAGGAGCATTTTTGACAGGCAGTTTCAGGCGTCGTAGAAGTCAAATGGTTTTAAAAAAAGGAAAAGATAATAACCAATACCAGCCTAGTGAGCAGCAAAAAAATGGAATTGTTAACTTTAATATGCAAATTAGCTAATATGATGTATGTTTTCAAGGTAAAATGCCTTCTGATGTAAACTACAGATGATAACAATCTTCGTTGTACAGTTTTATAATGACTTACATGTATGCTCTAGAACCATCTCTTCTTTTCTTCTTACTTTCAAGTTCCTTACGTTATTTAAAAAAATTTCTTCCAGGCATCGATTTTTCGCTTAGTGATATCACCAGATCGAAAGGTTGGATCAGCCATGTTAAAAGGATTTTACATGTCTTTTATCACTTTAAATAACTATAACGAGTTCCCAAGCTCTGAAATTCAGTGTTTTCTGTGGCTCTTGAAAGGATGAATTATCGAGCATTTGGTTCTCGACTATGATACATTCGCCATATTATGAAAAAACGTTATTCCCAACTGAACTTTGGGCCCTATCCCACAATTCAATGCCCCTGAAATTTCCGATTTGTGCGTTGAAGTATTTATTTGCCTCGTTGTATATATACTTAGGTTTTTACAACTAGTCAAATTCCAAGAGGAAAAAGTGTAATAATGTTATTATGACTATTATTTATTTTATGTTGATTACATCATTTTCAATTTTCGGAGTGAGCGTTGCTTGACGACACTAGTAGCGGCTGTGTAGGAGACTGAAGCCCCCTTCTACTCCCTCTCTTCTTCGAAAATAGGCGGTCCCTCTCATAAGCCTTTCAAAAAAAACTTTATAAAGGAGTATAATCCCACTTGTATTATAGACCTGCACATCACTATATAATATTTACTTAGTCATTATTATGTAGTGATGTGCAGTTCTAAAATACGAGTCAACTAAATCACTAGTAGTAATCTTGTATGCATTTTTTACAGGCAAGAGCTGTGCATGACTTTGCTGAACAAATTGGTAAAAAGCTGGCTAAAGCAGAGGAACTTGGTAATAAGACAACTGATTTAACGTATTGAATAAACTCAAGTTGATGCCTTTCTAGAAGTCACCTATGACTATCCTTGATTCGCTGTTGAATCACGATAACAACAATAGCAGCATAACATGTCTTTATCTCGTTAATGACGACCCTAATAAAGAAATATTATAATTATTATATCATTAGATTTAGCATTAGCATTACGGTTGAATTCGCTTGTTAGTGAACAAACCTATTTTTTTCCAGGTGCTGAAGGTAATGTTGAAGATTCAATGGCCCTAATGAAAGAGGTAGATGAATTAAAAATACAGAAGAGGCAAGCTGAGGTAAGTTAATTTCTAAGGCACAACCGGAATGGTTGCTGCTGATTGTGTAAGAAGGGACCTTAGCATTAACAAACGTTTGCGCCATGCTACATGCATTCTTTAATAGCAAACTGTTGAATACCAAAATTAGATAAGTTATTTACTTATTTACTATTTTAGGCGTAAAAAACATGCACCATGATAATCACAAACTCATCGATTTTGTTTATTAATATAATAAACGAGCAGGACACGATATGCAGGATTATTGCTTCAAAAACTTAGGAGTAATTGACAAACCTTTGGTTGAATTAGAGTAGACATATACGTCCATATGGGCATATACTAGTGGACCTTCGCTCTTAAATTAAAGTAGAAAAAATTGTAAATTAAATTAGATTTAGATAAATGACTGGGAAAATGCTCAAATAAATATTATCGGGGGAACTAAGTTCATAAAAGGTATTTTTTTAAAAGGAAATGCATTTTCGGGTTTAAATTTCGGATGAAAATAGAAACCAGTGAGAAAATAGCGACCAGAAACAACAAACACTTGTCGATTTCAGTCACGGTATATGTCTAAAATACCTAATTAGGAACCCTAGTATGAACCCTAATTAGGCCCCGTCCACACGTATCCGGAAATTTTTGTATCCGCAATTTTTTTTTACGGATACGGGTTGCGTCCACACATGTCCGCAAATTTTTGTGTCCGTATCCGCAAATTTTACGGAAAGGAATACGTGTGGACGGTGAAAACGATTCGAATACGCTGCGTGTTAGTCTCCCTCGCATCCATTTTTAGTGTCGGTCGTCACGCAACGCTGACGACGACCGACACTAAAAATGGATGCGTGGGAGACTAGCTGCGTGTGGACGCAAACATTTTCGTATCCGCAAAAAATAATTTGCGGATACCAAAATTTCCGGATGTGTGGACGGGGCCTAAATACAATAACCCAAACTGATTTTTGGAAATGTTCTAGAAGAACATCTAAATACTTCATGACGTGAGTTTCATTGAGAATAATAAAAAAAAAAAACTTTATTAATGTCTCTATATCTTTTAGCCGGGCACAAGTGCCTTACTAATCGGGGAGAGAAAAAAATAAATAGATAAATAAATAAATAAATGATTAAATAAATAATCAAGGAGAGAGGCTAAATAATTAAGAGGCTCAAGGACTATAAAAAGAACTTATAATGATATAAACAACATAGACTTAGACATTCAGGTTGCTGAAAGCGCCATTTTATAAATTTAGATTTTTAGCTTATTAACGTAGATTTTTAGATAAAGATACATAGTTA